GCATTTTGGGCCAGCGGTTATTGTAACATGAACATTTTCGGATCTGTTTTGACTTAGCTAGCGTTAAGAAGACTTACGTCAATTCCTTCAGAATATCATCGAGTCTGAGTCGGCGCATTCGGCTACGATTGTGTGCGCACACAAAGTGGCCCTTGTGACAGCTCATTTAATGATAGAACGGATGCAGTGCCGACATTACCTACTTTGGTTTCCACTGTCAAAACTTTGAATTACAGACCGGCAGTCGTCGGAGATGCGAATTTCAAAATTGGCAGGCTTTCCTGCGAATCAAAAGTAGTCATACTAGCTGACAAGGACTCTACGGACCGAGTCATTAATGTAAGGTCCCCAGGTATTGCCATTGACTACCGGTGTTACCAGCAAGTTGGCTCTTTGATAGAAAAACAGCGGGTCGCCCAGCAAAACGCGTGGTGACCGGATTTACATAGCGCATTGAAAGTCCAAATGGAAGGGTTGCAGAAGTCAGTCGTCAAGTACGGGGGTTCCCTTGTTCGTGGTTGGAGTCTACCGTAATCGGCCCCTAGTTTAGAAGTTTCTAAACTTGGGTTGAGAATTGCGCAAGTCCGCAGTTTTTAAAAAATTCCATGTGAGTTCTCGTTGCATGCATCAGAAGGTAAATTTCGGTTAGTTGATAGCAACACTGCTGTAGACCAACCACCTCCAAGGTGAAAAGAAAGCATATTCTTACACGAACAGGTTCCTTGTGCAACGGTTTTCGGACAACTGGACATGGTTTCACCCCGAGCGCGCGGTTTAGATAAAGGAAGCGGCTTAGTTGTATTTACAATTAATAGGTATCCTCCACCAGGCTTTTATGGCCGTTAAGTAGGATTTTGCTCGACGAGCAACAATAGGCATGATGGATAAGATAAGCATCTTTTATTGTTGTAATGCTGAGAAAATATGCGCAAGGTTAAATGAGTATTAAAAGTTGTACAAAAGATAACCGATCAGGCCTAATTTTTAGGTGAACTGGCGTAAAAAGCACTCAAAGCGGGGGGAAGTCGGCGCCTGGGGAGAATCCAGCTGCAGAGATTAGTATTGAACGCAGCGAAAAGCTCTCCGCCA